AAAAGAAGGTGATGCGCAGCTGTGTGGCCTAATCCTGTTGGTTTCTCATACATCTGGTCTGGGAACATCCATAGGCTTAGCTTCCCCAGGGGCCAAGATGGCGAAACATTAAGCCACTCAACCCCAATCAAGCTTTAGTATAAGCTAGGTGCTAAACTGCTCAGGACTGTAAAACTGTGATACTTTGGGGTCCATAAGGTCACAAACTGAAAACCATGTGAAAGGTTGTCCTCAAAGACCAGAGGACATGTGAGCCAATTTCGTTGTTCTTATATTCCACCAAACTGTCCATGTCGGTGCTTAAATCCTGTTTTGGATAGGTCTGCAGGCTCTGGCCTAGTATCAGGTTTCACTAAGCAGTTTATTCTTGGTTTTAAGCCTACTGCACAAATCAAAGAATTTCAGGTAAAATAAATAAACTGCTCCAGCAGGGTGCCACGACAGTTATCTTCATTCAGAACAATGCCACGTGTACATGGCAAACAGCCAGCGGCTCTTGATGTGCTTAAGAATGCCAAGAAAACTTGGCCTTTAATAAGCCATCTAATTAAACACTAGTCTTATGATGTGCAGCTCAGTTTTCCTAAGTCATTCCTTTGCCAAAGCTTAAGTCTTAACTTCTATTGCTGCCTGTGTAGCAAATGCATTCTTCTATTTTGAAACTACTGTAATGTAGATCTGTAATGCAGATCAAGGGCCAGACTCTGCATTCCTTCTTTAGAAGTATCAAGAAACACTTATTCTTTGAAACTTCTGCCACTATTTGGAGGCAACTACATGAGTATACAGATCTGAGTAAGTGATTAACTTTTTAAATAGAAGCCACACACCAGAGTGAAATAATTATTGGAAACTGTTTTTAAGTATCATGTGAGTCCCTGCTTTCTTTGTGTTTTAGCTGGAATATGAAAAGTTGAGGAGACTTACACAGATTTTGTTAGATGCATCATTACATCAAAGCCTGTTTTTAACAACAACAAAAAAGAAAAGATTTTCAAGGGAAATAAAATATTTTACTTCATCAAATTCTGAGACTGCTTTCAAAGACTGCCCAGGGAAACTAAAAATATAACTATTGATGCTGGTAACAAATGATCCATGGCCAGTACAGCTACACGAGGCTTAAGTCAAAAGAAATTTTGCCATAAAGTTTAAATCAGCAGAAGTGTAAACAGGCATGATTTTCAATAACGTCACTCAAAATCATGCTGTTGGCAAGAACCATGTAGCTAGGGAATGGTGACTTGAACTGATAGCAAACTGTTTGGAGTACTGGTCTCAGAGATGCCACTGGATAGGCTTCAATTATATATATAGTATATACCATGTGATGCTATGAATAGAAATACATTAAAGTTCAAAACGTGCAGTAGCAAAAGAAATAAAGGATGAGACTATGAGTTGCAAACATAATGGAGCTGAGTCTTCAGTAATCTTCTTAAGTGGTTATTGACAATATCAGCATTAGCTTAAAAAAATCGTCCTCATAGAGTCACTGAAGACTTAAGTCTGCAAGGAAAACCAGAAAGCTTAACACATACTCCCTGTTCAAAGCGTAGCCAATGCATGCCCTGCTCAAGCAGCAGATGGGCAACCCGTAGACATCTCTACCCAGTAACAGCTTCATACAAAGAAGCTAACACCAGAAAATATTTTCTGTCCTTGTTTCCAAGATCCTTTACAAGCCTCCTCCACTGCTTCCCAGCTGGGATTCAGTAGGTGGCTGCAGGGCTCCCCACTCAGCCTTGCTCAGACTGCTGGGGAGGCAGTGCGGATGTGGTTGGGGAGCTGGCTGAAGGAAATGTGGCTTTACTGTGTCACTGTCCACTGCTTTCTGACCACAAAGCAGTCTCTCTCCTCTCTTCTCCTTTACAGGGATCTTTGGTCCCACACCATCTGAGGACAGCTGTTTTGCAGCTGCGCATGAGGTGTTGGAGGAGCTAGGTAATTTTAAAGATAAGCAGTTTTCAGAATCACTTATTTTCTGCTGTGGGATTTCCTAGGAGCAATCTTTAACTAATACAGCCCTTCAAGAAATTCATTTTTTCTGACCCAAAGTTAAAGGTAAAGCCTGTCCTGTTTTGTCTGGTCAGCTATTATGCAATGCCTTGAAAGTCATTGGTGGGATACTGAGATGTGTGGATATGTGTCATGCTTGGAAGTGATGGAAATAGAGGAACAGTGGTTTGAGGAAATGACTGGATTTCTATGGAAAACCTGGGTAGGCAGGTGGTGCAATGTCAATAACACACAACATATGAAAAAGAACATTGCTATGTCTGTTAGTGTTTGCATATGTACATAGCTATTTATTTATATCTAATGAAGGTGGTGTAATTCAATCCTGTGAATAGCTTTCAAAATTTTGAGAGAGGGATTACTAACCAGCCAAGAGTCAGAAAGGCTGCTTACTGTTAACATCCCTGTTGTGATTTTTCATACTCCACACATCCCATCAGAAGTAACTCTAAGGAATTGGTTTATGAGATTGCCTGCTTAGAAAGACTGTATTCTTTTAATTAGACTTGTGTCATCAAATCCAGAGATCTGGTTGCGTTTGCTAGTATAGCTTCGTAGTCATATCAGTGGCATAGCTGCTTCTTGTATGCAAAGGGCAATATAGCATGCACTGGCATAAGACATCTGTGTGCTGATATAATTGTGCCCACACTGGGAGCAGTGCTGATGTAAGTATCTACGTAATAATGACACCCAAATGCAAGAAAAGACCATATGACACAGAATCTACGTGCAGAGACGAGGCCTGAATTAACGTATTTTATACTATTATTGGCACTGCCAACCTGAAAGTAATTTAGACCTCCTCCAGTAAACTGCTTACTGTCTGATTTATGTTCTTTTTCATACTTGTGTAAGAATTTCCATTAAACTGCTTGTGTGGATTCAGTTCCAATTACACTAGTATAAAAGTACCTTACTTCCTATACAGCTTACCCTCATTATTTAGACTGATTATATCACCATGAAAAGGTATTTTTATTAGTACTGTGTACATGCATTTTTCTGAGTTTTGTTACTCATGCTGCTGTAGGTAAACCACTTACAGATACATTTACAGAGTTTACTCTATGTGAACTTGATATATAGTTTACTCTAAGTAAAATCTACCCTTGGACTGAAAGGGCCAGATTCAGAAGTCATACATTAAGGGCTAAATGGATATGAACCCAAGCAAAAGTAATAGGAGTTTAAGGATTGTATCTTCCTTGTTGAATATGCCCCAGATGTTTGACGCTGTAATAACATGACTTCACTTAGGGCCTTTTCCAACGTTGGTCCAGAGATGCTGAAAATGATATGAAGTTTATTTGCCTAAATAAAACTGGAAAAAAATTGTGTTTCCTTTGACGTATTTGAAAATGAGCATCCTTATTCTGCACCTTCCCATAAGCCATGCAGAGCCAGGAGCAAAGTCTGGGGAGTTGATTTGATATCAAGGGTGGGAGCCAGTGGAATTCAAGAGAAAATTGCATATTATCTGCATTGCTACAGAATGGAAGTTTTTCTTAAACCATAGATTATACTTGTGACTATTTGGGAATTTAAATACTTTTGAACCTTACTCCTTCTCTTCTTGTGATGCTGTGGCATTTAAATCTTGATATTAAGTAGCACTTACCAAAAAGAGTTCCCAGACACCTGGAATTCAGAACTGATCCCGAAATTCTAGCTCCATGTATGTAATACTGCTGTGTAATTTTAGCTTGAAAATTTCTTTATTTCAACTTGGTGAGACAAAAAACCCAACTTTTTTTGGTAATGAGATGCTTTGTCACAGTATCCATGAGCTCTGTTTTTCTTTGACTTCAGTGGTATTTGAATTCTGTGCATTTTGAAGTTTGCCTGAATTTGAAACTTACCAGTGGACATTGTTGGCCTCAAGCCTTATACAGGATATCTGTTATTCAGATGGATTAATTATGAAAGCCGTCATGAAAGAAAGTCATTACAAAAGGAGATCTCAAGGGAAAAAGTCTTACAAATGAAGGGGGAAAAGCTGCTCTTTGGTCATTTTGATAATAACACTTGATAATCCCGTCATACCTTGAAAATGACAATTTAATTCAACCACAATGAAGTGTTGAAGTGTTCCAGAATGGTGTGGTACCATGGCATCTACTTTTCCTTCTCAGCCAAAAGAGTATATATATGTGCATTCAGACTACTATTCCTCCCTTTGCTTCAGGAGAAGCACTCAGTAGTTACCGCTGATGATTAAAACACTGTATCTGACCAGAGCTGCCTTCATTATTATTACCATTTTGGAACAGAAAGTAAAAACTTAATGCTACCTGCATGGTTTTTGGAGACACCTCGTATCTGCAAGTAGGAAACATGATTGAGTTGTTGCATTAGGAAGACTAGGAATCAAGGGCTTTTACACTGTCATAATCACTGGCTCTTTAAGCAACCTCTGAGAATTGCATAAATACTTGCTATAATGGGTAATACATTTTTGATCATTATACTACTTGACAGATGTGACATGAGGTTTAATATATAATAATCTAATTTCTTTAAGTGCAAATATAAGACTTGCCTTTGGAAAAGAATGGCGATCTTTGGTTCAAGGACTGATCAGGAATCTGAAGCTTTCTCTCTGTGCTTTGGTTCATTTTCCATAAATAAAGAGAATATTATATTTTTATTGTCAATGAAGAAATGGTTTTATGGTATGTATTTAGAGCACCTCAGTGCAAGTTTGAGCCTTTTGTATGCACTGCAGAAATAAAAATGTAACTAACAAGAATTAGTTACAGAAGGTATCCAAATCCTGTTAATGGAAATATTCCCACTGACTTTACCAGGGGTGGGATTGGATCATTGTGTCATACTTTTAAACTGTATTAGATGGAAGCTTGTATTGATGCTTTTGCCCATGTTCTGCTGTTTGCAAAGGGTTGGTGACTTTAACCTGTTGTTACCTATGGGTGTAAACATTTATTTTAACGATTTTTTGTTTTTTCCTTCCTGGGCAGGATTTATGTGGGCATCATTCATGTGATACTCTGGGAATGGCAGACGTTGGGACCATATGCTCTCCTGAGCGCAGCTGTGCAGTGATTGAAGATGACGGCCTCCATGCAGCTTTTACAGTGGCTCACGAAATTGGTATGCAGTGCCTTTTCTGTTCACTTGCCAAATCAAACACTTGTAACAGCTGCATTAGTAACCAAAATACTTCACAATTAATTCCAGATTTCCCCTGGTCCAGATATTCACTTGGGGATTAAGGCTGTATACATACGCACTTCAGGGTTAACTAATAAGGGATCAGAAGGCAAGTGAAGGCGCACAGTAGGTGTTTCCTTTCTGACAGTGTCATTTCTAAGCAGTAGTTGAAGTGAAAATTCAAAGTCTGCTGCTACTGTCCAAAGATGTCAATACACGTGTCTCCTGACAAAGCATTTGGCCCATCTATTGAAATTCACATATGTTTACTGCACACACAGTGGAAAATAACTCGCCTTTTTGAAGTACTTGCATGCTCTACTGTTATGAAACATTTTCCTGGGACAGTGCATTAACTGCATTGTGGAAAAAAACAGAATTCTAATCTTTTTCTAAGTGTATGGAAATTCCATCTTTGTGGTAAAATACAGTACTAATGTGAATCTTGAAATAAATTAAATAGTATATTTAGATGATTTGGTCAAAAAACCTGTTCAGATTTGTTTCAGTTTCCACCTCTGGATAGCAGTGTAATGTAAGGATTTAAGATAGAATTAGTGACAGAAGAAAGTTCATATTTTGTGATATTCCATCTGTTGTGATATATTCCTTCAGCGAGGCTGCTGCCATTTTGATGATTTTTAATTTACTAATGATTTGTGAGCTGTGTTCACTGGAAATACATTCGGTATGAGGGCTGTTCGCCTTGGTGAGTGAACAACAATCTAAAAGTGCAGAACTTTTTTTTTTTTTTTTTTTTTTTTTAACATTCTTGGAAGGAAATAGCAAGGAAAGGAGAACTTGCAGAGAGAGCCAATTGCTGAATTGCCTTGTACCTCATGCCAAACCAAAGTAAAGTTTGCTTTGGGAGTATCATTACAGCAGTTCAATTTTCAAGTAGCTAGCAGGTAGAACCCAAGAGTTGTGTGCCTTATATATACAACTGGCTCAGCAACCAGAGGTCACTAAGTATGAAGAAGCAGCTGAGGTGTCACTGACTTGACCCTTCAACGTTTAGGGAACCTAACCCTACTGCTCTGATGGTGCTGCAGCGAAATGAAATTGCTAGTGGCTGGACCATGATCATGTGTTGCATGAAAATATAAAATGTTTGTGGCAGAATTAGTCCCCAAAACAGAAATCTTGTTTTAATAAACAAGAATATCATTATGAAAGAAAAAGCCCTGTGAAATCACTAGTTCAGAGTATTTGGAGATAAGTGCAATACATCATCAAGTACAACTTCACATCAGAAGAGTTCAGTGGCATCAAACTTGGAAACTGTGAAGCTAAAGACCCTCCATGAACCTGTCTAGAACTGGGACAAGTAGATTGGCAAACTGCCTATCACTCAAAGGCCAGTCTGCTAAAGGGACTGCTTGTATGTTCTTGCATCCAGAAGCTATGTTCACTGGTGAAGGTTAGCAGGCTTTGGCAAGGTCAGATGAGGGACCTTCTTGCAATGCCAGTGTTGATATATCTCGTGTGTAAAGAGGTGACTAATGTGTCCTGACTACCATTTTATCAGCAATAAATACACGTCTAGATAGATTAAAAATGACAGAAATCAATAAAAATAGTGGTAGGCATAAATACGCATATTACTACCTTGAATTCCACACAAAGAAAATGTAAACAAAATTAAATATTTTTAGTGATCTAGAAGCACATTTTTGAGAAAAGAGACATTTTCATACCTAGACATTTACAGGAATCTGTAAAAGCTATAATTTTCAATGTAAAAGCGGTATAAATTGAAATTAATAAATAAGTACCCTAACAGACAAAAAAACCCTCTAGTTTTGAAGCTGTTTAAAATAACATCCTTTTCTTTTTCTCCTTACTATAAGCTTTTAAGAAAGGGGGGGGGGAGCAAGTCGCAGAATGATCTTTGTGTGTGTGGCCTGAAGTGGGTGAAGTTGAGAGGAAAACACAGCTAAAATTGCTTGAGTACTTAAATTAAATTAAAGGTAAGAAAGGATGAAAAATAAAAGTGTGGCATGGATACCCTTTAGTTAAGCACTTTGGGGAAAACTTTGCTTTATTTTATTTGGAGACCAAATTTCTTCCTACGATTCAGACATCTTAAACTTCCCTCTGTTCTGTGGGTAGGGTGTAGCTTTAATTTTACAGTGGCTTAGTTATTCAGTGGAATTCACCTGGCTGCATAAGAGATGCCCTGTGAGACTAAGGGGATGCTAAGGGCTGTAAGCCTAAAATGCTTCTTTCTGTCAGTAGGAATAGCAAGGTGAGCTGCTAAGTGAATCAGAGTCACCATCTGCAATTTTTTGAATAAATAATCTTGCTGCACATGCACAGGTAGCAGATGCACCATCATTAACATGGACTTGATCTGGAGAATGGCTGTGTGTCCTTGCTGACTTCCACGGGGATCTGAATGCTCTTGTTTCCTCTCTGAAAGATCCAAGAGCATTTTTTAGGATCAGATTCTCTCTTTGGAAGTCAACCAAAGTAAATGGAGCTGCAGCTCAAACAAATGGAGAAAACACAGCCCAGGGGCTAAGGTTGGATACATGCATAGGAAGAAAAAAAGTTGCCAGGGTTTCTACTACTTTACATGTTAGATGTTTATTTTGTTTCTTTCAGGTAAAATCTGAGTTTTGACCAGTGGTTTTTGAGGGGAAGAGTATGAATGAGCAGCAGTAACAGGCAAAATCTCCAAAGAGCTATAAACAAGAGCACAGAAAGAAATAGGTGTAACCAAATTCTTAGTACAACTAATTAGCTGACAGTAAGAGGTGGAGATCTATATACAACAACTAACAAGGTTGGACCTGAATCTTGTCCTACGTCTATGCAGGAAAATCAGGAATAATTTGTCCCTGATGTCAAATGCAGAAAATGAGGATAATGCAACAGAAAAACGGGAGGAATGCTTGTAACTTTGAATGTGATAATCCAGTTTCTCCTCCAAATAAAAGGAAGCAATGCTAATAGCATAAATGTTACTTTTAAATCATAGCCTGTCAAGACATCCAGCTAACAATAGTAAATCCATATATAGTTATTTTCTAGCTGGGGACATGCTGCTATCAGTTTGGACAGCAGCAGCTTCACTGTCACATAAACAGATTCTTGCCTGAAATCGTCAGCTGACATCCATGTTGTGGCATATGGGTGTCTTTTTTGACTTTAAGCATCTCCTTTAGCTATGTCTCCGTAGCTTTCCAGGGATATCTGAGCTAGCTTACGTGCAGAATGGTAGACATTTTCTAGGTCTTTGTTATGTCTGTAAAAAAACTGTGTTTCCTTATTTTATGCACTTCCCTGCTTCACAGAGACATCTGGAGAAAAGCATTGAAGAACTGTGCATAATCTCAACATTTATTTAATGGTTTTCATAGGTCAGCACTAGTATTTTTCTCCTCCATATATCCCTTACTAAAATAACCATCAGGAAACAAAAATAACTAGATTCTCACTCTAATACTCTGGAATTTTGGGTTGGAGATTTGTTGCATTTAGAGTTGAATTATAAACCAACCTGTGCATCCCATGAAGATAAGAAGGATCCGACATCACCAACAGACACAGTCAATGAATTTGAAGTTACGTTTAACATCTCTTGTGATGGGATGTATCTAGTGCAGGACAATTCTTTGTTTAGTAGCCTGGTGTTGCATTTTGTGATACAGCAATGATTTCAGCTGACTTTGGCTCCTCTTATGCTAGAGTCCCCCATGCTTCCATACAGACAGCCCACCACCTTAAAGAGTTTGTTATCTACAAAAAGAAACTAAGAGGATTTCAAGAGTGGAGCTACTGCTCATTTTATTAATAGGTAATTTCCCAAAATCGCGAAGGAAGTTTCAAGGAAATACAAGGATTAAACTTGTTTCTTGAGGTTTGATCTAGTCCTTAAATACAGAAGCATCTTTCCTGCATTCTTTAAGCAGTCAAAGCTCCATTTTAGTTCAGGAAAAGTTGCATGGGTCTAATAAATTATATGTGTCTTTATTCTTTCCAACAATCTATCTCGAAGAACCTTTTTTCTTATTTTTTTTTTTTTTTAGAGGAGATACAGAGAAAGCACTGCGTTTTTGCTCAGTGGTAATGTTCATTTGACCTTTTGCAGAGTTCCTATTTCTCTGTTAAGCAACCATGCTGACATGTTATTACTCCTTCTATCCTCCTGAGTAATATGGTTTACTGATGTTCTTTCCAAGTATTTTATTTTTAAGATATAGCTTTTAAATTCCTACATGGAACTAATTAAACTTCTGCTCATTAGTTTTCTTTTATCTTTTACATGTGACTTTAGAGAAGGGAAAGCCAAAAGGGGGCATAAAAGCAATGTTCAAATATATTAAAAAAATCATTGTGAAAATTTATGTAATATATCATTTGCCATGTCCACCTGGGACAGAACAAGGAGTAATGGCCTTAAATTGCAGCAAGGGAAATTTACTTTTAAGCATTAGCCAAAATCATCTAACCAGAAGGACAGTTAAGGACAGGAATAAATTGCTTGGGGAGGCTGTGAAATCTCCATTACTGGAGGTTCATAGGAGCCAGCTGGCTAAAACAGCTGTGGCTTAGGGGACGCTGATCCTACCCTACAGCGGAGGGATGCATAAGCTGGCTTTTCAGATTCTCCTCTCAGCCTCATTTTATATGGTTACATGAAGTTATGACAACTTCCTCCACAGCTATACTGTGTAACTCCTAAAATCAAGTACAGAAGCTAAAACCAGAAAACGATGTGTTTAATACCAAATCTTTTCCAGCATGCCATCATTCTGTGGCGTCTGCCACCATTGAGGCGAAAAACATCATAAGCACTGTCAGCAAAGTGTAGTGCTTTAATATTACGTAGAGAAGCTATTTTAGAAGTGAGGTATCACTCCTGGGATCCTTACTCAGGTGGTTCACTGAAATACACCAAAATACCATTTTGCTGAATTCCGAGTGGATTAAAA